GAAATATCTTACGATAAATACTTAAGTTTGTTTTTCTCTTTCAAATAATTATAAGGCCTTTGCACTATCCTTTTTGGTAATTTGACACGCAAAAATACTTTTTTTTTTTAAAAAAAGAATGGCCAAACACAATTTTTTTTATCAAATATTACAAAAAATAGTTCTTAAATGAATTGGCCAAACAAAAACTATTTTTTTTCAAAAGTACTTTTTTCAAAAGTATTTCTGAAAAAAAGTACTTTTCAAAATGAGTAGATTTTGGCAGCTTGGCCAAACGGGCTCTGAGAGTCCTCCAGAGCTAGAATGTTAGGTACGGGTTCCGCGAACTAAGCTAGCGTTTGGCCATAGATCCAAATTTATTTTGAAAAATTTGATTTGGGTGAAGTTTGGTTTGAAGATGAAAATGTGTTTGGACATACGTTTTCAAAACATATTTCCCAACTTTATTTTGGAAAAACATGTAATAATTCCCAAGTTTTGGGATTTTGGGATTTGGGACATAGGATTTGGCCAAAATGTGGGCAAATTTATGGCCAAACATGAGTTTTGAAAATAAATCCCAAATTTATTTTGGCAAAACTCATGGCCAAACGGGGCCTAAATAACTTTAGTCTAAACTATAGAAAGAAATTTGTTAAATATGGCTAAAAATCAATTTAGATTCCAATTACTAACACCTAGAATTTAAAACTTATAAAATTCAAATCTTTGGCTCCTCCTCTAATTCTAAGTCTTTTTAAAGTACTGGTGTTCGTCGAATCGTCGGAGGTTTCAGATTTGCTGATGACAATTTGAGGTAGGTGGGTGGGTGGGTGAAAGCATCAACATGAAGGGCTTTGCACTAATTAATATGATTGCTTTTAGTAAAACATTAACTCAGAAACAATATTTAACGTACATAATGCAGGGAATCTTTGTTATGAATACTAATAAGTAAAGCTAATTTTCTGAAGCAACAACTTAGTCACACCGAGGAAGTACTATAATACGGTTTGTCTTTCATTCCTTCTTTTCTTTATCATTATTTCTTCTCTTTTTAGTTCAATTGTTGTGGTTCTCATTTCCCATTGCATCCACCATTTAAAAGAGTGACAACTGCAATAGAAAAGAAAGCATTGGCATAATTCAATTTCCAGACATAATCATTAAACAAAAGAAGATAAGAATAATTGACTTTCATATTAATTGTGATAATTAGCAATTAGTTGATCAGTGCAGTTTTTTTTTTTTTTTTAATTTTAAGTTTAATGAGAAGGAATCTGTCATTTCTTTTGCTTTGTTTGGTAAAAAGAATCTTTGTACTCTTTTTCAGAATATATCTCCAAAAGCATATGCTTTATATCCACTCTCAAGTAGTATGAGTCACCCGTTTGGGTCGAAGACAAGTTATACCGGGATTAATTATATTGAGATTGATTATGTTAGGATTAGTTAGTCTAGTATTATTTCTTATTGACTGTTCGTTACGTGGTATTATTCTTGGGATTGTTAATTTTAAAGCTTTACCCTTGGATATACCGTGAATGATTATGTTGGGATTAGTTAGTTTGGTATTATTTTTTATTGATTGTTCGGCATGTTGTATTATTCTTGGGATTGTCAATTTAAAGCTTTACCCTGGGATTACAATCCCATCATATGGCAGGTATAAGCAGGGGCAGATGCACGCTTAACGAAGCGATGTCACACGACATGGCTTTGTCGGAAAATTTTACAATACTGTGAGGAAATGGATAAGTAGAAAAAAAAATGACACCACTTAATATAAATTGTGTCTTGGCACTAGGGGTGTACAAATGAAACCGACAAACCGCACCAACCCGATAATCCGAGTCAAACCGAGAAAAAAAACCCGACTATGGTTTGGTTTGATTTGGTTTGGTGTTGGAAAAAAAAACCCGATCATATTTGGTTTGGTTTGGTTTTAACTAAAAAAAGTCAAACCGAAACCAAACCAACCCGATATTATATGTATAGAAGTTTTAAATATATTTAATACATAAAAATATTTATTGTAGTGTAGTTTATAAATATTTATTAAACTTTTTCATAGTTTTATCTTTTCACGTATTATTTCAAGCTTGGACTTATAATTTTTGGATGCTCCAATAAGTTTTATAGTTCATAAAAAAAAAACTCAAATAAATCTTAAACCAATATAAAGTCAATACTAATGTTAATAAAAGACGTTCAATTCAATTGTACTATGAATGAAAATAGTGTTGGATATTTATTTTTTGGTTTTTCCGTGGTTTAGATAAAATGCATAACTTATTTTTCTTTTAGTGTTTGGTCATGTAAATAATATAGTACTTATTAGTCGTACTTATTTTAGCAACTTATTAGTAANTTCAAATTATGTTTGTTTTATTATGGCTTATTAATAATACTTATTTTATGCGATTTTATTATCTTTATTGTTGAATATTTTAGTACGATGCCATGACTCATCTCATATTTATGTTATTTTATTGAAAAAATACCTTATATAGTTCTATCTTACTAGGATTAAAGAAATATTTGGAGCACAAATTCTATATTTTGTGCTATGAAGACTTAATGGAAAAAAAAAACCAAAAAAATCCGAAAACCCGAAAAATCCGAGAAAAACCGAGATTGAAAAACCCGACTTTTATTGGTTTGGTTTGGTCTTTAAGTTTAATAACCCGATAGAATTGGTTTGGTTTGGTAATTAGAAAATCCGAACCAACCCGACCTATGTACACCCCTACTTGGCACATTAGTTATGTGCTTGATTTCTTGTCTAGAAGTATGATAATTAAAGTTATTATTAAAGTTCTTCTATAAATTTTGAAACCGCTTATAAAAATTAATGCGTGCGTACGCCCCTGGGTATAAGTTATTCCAGTACTATATTCAATCCTAAGACAACTTATCTCAGTATTAGTAACCAAACAAAGCATAAGTTGGTACTAAATTTTTAATCCAGAACTATTTTTGCTTATGCATGATACCAAACGAAAGGTGTGCAGACTCGTATTGCAAAAAACAAAATTAATAGGTCAATTGAAATTAATTGCATTCGTTTTCATTAGTCAAACAGTGTATGATATGTGTATATTATAGGTATATAATACGCATATATAAAAAAATATTCATTTTGTAAACTATTATTTTTATCAGCGGTTAAAAAATATATGTACATTTTTCGAAATTATGTACGAGTCATTTTTGCTATTTTACGCAACTCCACTAATAGACTAGAATAGCCCATAGCTAATAAGCAAGTATAAATAGAGAACTCCTTAGAAAGAGAAATTTAGGAGTAGAAGTTGAAAGGCATGTAACAAATAAGCGTAGTAGATATTATTCCATAAATGAAATATAAATAGAACAATTGAAATACATAGTTGTATCGCATTGTTGTGCATCACTGCTTTTCAATAATCTTTTGAACGATTTAAACAATAGACAACTCCATTATTCTTTTTCGAGTGAAGTGACACAGATAAAAAGAGCATCAAATTCTAGCTATGAACATAGACTAAAAATTAGAGGCTAGCAGGAGCTATTAGAGCATGCTATTTTACGACAAGGACGTAACGTCATTCCAAAACGTTAGGCTCAAGCTTGTACACCTTTAATTCATTCTTCTTCTATCCAGACTTGAAGATTGTTCCCCGTCATCATCATGAGAAAGACGAAAAGGATAGACACAATACTAAAAGTGTAGACACTCAAACTGGGATTACTCAGCTCCCCACTAAATTGGGTGATTTGCAAGAATAGCCTTAGAAGTACGTGATCTTGATTTTTTGACTCTTATTATCTCAACTTTAGTGCCCGTTTGGACATAAAATTTGATGGAAGATTTTTTCAAAACTTTTTTGAAAAAATCTTTGACCTTTGACGTTAAAGGTTTGCCCATGGGGCAGCGGTGGCCAAAAAATCAAGACTATCCATTTTCAAAGTCATTGGGAGTAATTTACTGCGGTAAACTCGAACTGACTAGGGAAAATAACATTGTATAGCCGCTTTCAAAAAATAGCCGAAATATATATATTTTTGGTATATTTTTAAATTTATGTATGTATATACAAATTTTATATACTTTTATGGTTACCAGTTATAAATAGTTTCAGCTACGGGCTAAAAATGGGGCAAGTGCACAGATAGCCATTCTCAGGGACGCTATTTAGAGATTAGCCAGTAATTATTTTCTCCTGAATTTTAAACTAAAAATCCTAACTTCAGGACAATTTTGTCCCTGAAATTTGAACTAAAAAATTAAAATTCAGAATGCACTGACTAATTTTTAAATAGCAGCACAATAAAGTGGCTACCCGGTGTCATTTCTACGCTAAAAATGATATTTGCCCAACTATCAAGTCCAATGACAAGCCCATGATATTCTTGGGCTGGCGTAGGAAAGCCCAATATTCCAATGGGATTAATTCAGCTCCATGCAATATAGGAGAAATTCAAAAATAGCCAGATTTATAAGTGGTCGTTCAAAAATAGTCCAGTTTCAAAAGTAATCGAAATTTAGCCACTTTTTATGTGAAGATAAATCTTAGCAAAAACATTGTTCAAAACCTGAAAAATACACCAGTATATTATGCTGGAGTTCCAACATAAGTATACTTGAACTCCAGCATATTATACTGGAGTTCCAGGATAAGTATGCTGTAACTCCAGCATACGGAGTTTCAGCATAAGTACACTCGAACTCCAGCATAATATACTGGAGTTCCAGCTAAGTATACCGGTCCAGTATAATATGCTGGAAGTTCATATACAAGTGCTCGAATCTCCAGTATATTATGCTGGAACTTTCCGTGTGTTGGAATTCCAGCATAATATGCTGGAACTCCAGTATATTATGCTGGACCGGTCTCTGTTGTAACAAAATAGTGACTATTTTTCATTGACTTTGTAAATGCTGGCTATTTTTGAACGATCAGTCCGAAAACTAGCTAGACAGTGCTATTTTTACATGCACATACCCCTTCTCCTTTTTCCGGTCAGTGCCTGGGAAAATGACAGCTGTCTTTAGAACACAAGGCAGTTTCTTCGTGAAGCGCGTCTCTGAGGACTGAGCAGAAAAAGGACACTCTCCCTTTCCCTCCTGCTGGACTGCTACCACTTTAGGTGGTTTGTTTCTACTTTCTACTCTACGAAAAGTGAAAAGACGACGGAACACTCCGTACAACGTCGATCACGGCCTGCATTTTGTTGTTAGAGCTCACACATTTCGTAGAGGTATTAGAATGCAGAAAATTGCTTTTGCTTTCTCCACATTGTTGTTTTTGGTTTTGTTTACAAGCTTTTTCTGCGTTCTCTCCTTGTCTTTAGTTCTGTGGGATTGGGGATTGGGGTTTCGCAGCAGTAGTGAGTGGCTTTAAGAATTTAAGCCTCAAAGGAGCAGCTGTAACTTGGCTGTCGTTGCAATTTTATATCAAGTAATTCGGTAATGTCTGACCAGTTGTCTTGTTATATGTGAAATGTTATTTTGCTTTCAAAGTTTTTTTGTGTTTGAAACTCTGGATTTCAAAAAAAAAAAAAGAAATGCGTTGTATTTTAGAAAGTAACCACTTCTTAGCTATAAAACTTTTTGTTCATTCACAAAACTCAAATGTTAGTAATCTATAGTAGGGTAGAGACTTGAAACCTGCATTTATGAACTAATTTGTCAGTGTAAGATTGTACAGGGCCTATGGGCCGAGTCAATATTTAGTAATCTTCTCCTTACTGTCACAGTTTTTAAGTATTCAAAATCAAGTGTGCAAAAAACTTATCCCCTCTAAAAGAGGCTTACGGTTATCTTTAGTTCATGCAGAGGTTGGAACATTATAGGTTCGAGTTTGCAATTTTATCACAGCCCGTTTGATACTGGGTTCGAAATATATTTTTTTGTGCTTATCTATTTGATTTTCTTAACACATACACAAGGTCCGAGCCAAAGCTGGTGGATTCCGATGAACCCATAGTGGTAATTAGATCCGCTCCTGAGTCATGCGTCAATTAAGATTATGCGTTAGTTTGTCCAGTAACCATGAACATCACCCTTAATATTTTGACAAGATTTTGCACTTCCGATAAAACTCTTTTATTTTATTTGAGATATATTTTCCAAAAGGATCTTTAATCTACTTGCTTTACTTCCTTGTCATCTTCCTATTCTGCCTCATCAAAGGGCAAATTGAACGGTTTTCGTTGACAGCATGGCTAGAATTGAGTTTCAGCTTCTTAACCTGTATTGAGTTATACTGATCACTATATAAAATAGTTAATCATCCTTTAAAATAGTTCTGACTACTATTTAGAATTTTAAATTAGAGTATTTGGAAATAGTGCATTTTGATCATTCTGAGATAGAACTATTCAGAACTTGGCTTTAAATTTCTTCTGATTATTCTTTTAGAAAAATGATAGGTTTTGCATGAAACATCCTAATCTTTTCGTCTGATTCTGGTGGATTGAGGCGAAAATATGCTGTGCCAGTCAAAATACCCTTTTATTCTCCAAGTAGTATCTATTTAGCAAAAAAATAAAGTCTCCAAGTAGTATGTACTGTCAATAAGTTTTAGTGGTGTCTGTCAGTGTTGTTTCATTAAAGTTACTGATTTATCTCGTTCTATTGATCGGTAACACTTTTATGTTTGTACTTTGTTGCGGTCTGCCGTAGGTTACTTGTAACATCTTCAGCTATGATTCAAGTCCTCTAAGCTGCTTGTTCCGCAGTTTCGATATATTAACTGATTTATACATGATACCTGCACCATATTCAGCTATGATTCAAATCCTCTTTGTTGCTAGCTCCACAGTCTCTGCGTATTAACTAATTTTTACATGCGGCTTAGACAATTTTAACATCTTCAGCTATGATTCAATTCCTCTTAGTTGCTTGTTTAAGATTTAACTTGATTCCCCTCGATATTTGTTTGTATTATGTACATTTTAGAATTGACTCTTCTTTTATATTAAATCCAGATGAGCCAGCAGCTCAGATGAAGAATTAGAGTTGAGTGACTCTGAGATTTATGAGTTCAAAGAGAAGCCTTATGAAGAATTACGAACTGGAAAGCTGAGAGTGAAGGGTCCAAATGGGTCCCTTAGATGTCCCTTCTGTGCAGGGAAGAAAAAACAAGACTACAAGTACAAGGACCTTCTTCAACATGCTACAGGGGTTGGCAAAGGTTCTGCCAACCGAAGGGCTAAGCAGAAGGCAAACAATTTGGCTCTTGCAAAGTATCTGCAAACAGACCTAGTAAATGAGGCTGAGCCAATACCTGCACGTGCTGTGACACCAGAACGTTCAGAACCTGAAAAAACTGAACTGTTCTGTTGGCCTTGGACTGGGGTTGTAGTTAATGTATCAAAGGAAGCAGCAAATGGCAGATCTCTAGACGACAAGGAGTACTGGTTGAGAAAGTTTTCCATCTACATGCCTTTGGAAGTCAAGTTTTTCTATGATAACCAAGCTAGGGTCTCTGGAGCTATTGTGAGGTTCACAAGTGATTGGACTGGTTTTAAGGGTGCAATGGAGTTCGAGAAGTCCTTCGAAGCCTCTCGCTGCAGCAAACGAGAATGGCAAACCGATAAAAATTGCCCTGGTCCATATATTTATGGATGGGTTGCTCGAGAAGATGATTATGTAGCAGAAGGGGCTGTAGGAGAATATCTGCGAGAGAAGGGGGAGTTGAAGACGATCTCTGACCTAATTAATGAAGAAACACATGATAAAAAGAAGGTTGTAGCAAATCTAGCCAATGAAATTGACATGAAAAATGAAAATCTGGATGAGCTACAGACAAGATTCAATTTGAATACACTATCTCTTAGTCAGATGCTTGAGGAGAAAGACATGCTACACCGTGCTTTCTTTGAAGGTTTTCAGTTGCAAGCCTTTTCTGTTATTATTATTTTTTTCTGATCCGCAGATAGTGTATGAAATTTATGTTCTTATCCCTGCCATGTGTCAGATGTTTTTGACTAGATAGGTGAGAATATCTAGACTTGACACTATAAAGTGCCAGTTCTAGTGCATCTTCTCTAAAATTGATCTGTTTCATTTGTTACTTGGACGAAGGGGGTTAACTGGAGTTTATCTCTTGAAAATTGTTTTATTTAACATATCACTAACTCTAAGCATCTTACATTTGCTTCGAAAACTTGTAAGGTGATTCTAGATACTCGATTTGACAAAGTTCACAAGTTAAAGAGAACCTCCTTTTGTTGGGAATTCATCGGGTAATAGAAGTGCCACGATTTTTATAGTATAACTAAAGTCTACTTGTGCAGAATCAAGGAAGATGCAACGCCTTGCCCGTGAGCATGTAAAGAAGGTCCTGCTAGAGCAGGAAATGTTAAGTGTAGAGTTGGAGAGCAAGAAGAAGAAGCTTGATGCTTGGAGCAGAGAGCTGAATAAACGTGAGGCCTTAACTGAGCGAGAAAAGCAAAAGCTTGACGATGAGAAGAAACAGGTATTGAATTCCAGCATGAGTCAAAGTTATATATAGATATTTCTCTTTATCATGATAGTCCAGCGATGGGTTTATATTCTTTCAAGCAGTCTCACCTCTGCCTATATTATATGGGGTAGAATGGAACTCTCTAGCTGCCGGTCCTCTAAAGCCAATTTTCGAACTAATGCTCAATGCTTTCCAGTCAGCTCTGTTGAAGGGGAGCTTTGGTGTAATAAAGTTGCTGTCATGTGACCAGGAGGTTAGGTTCAAGCCGTGGAAACAGCCTCTTGCAGAAATGTAGAGTAAGGTTGCGTACAATAGACCCTTGTGGTCCGGCCCTTCCCGGATCCCGCGCATAGCAGGAGCTTAGTGCACCGGGCTGCCCTTTTCTGTTGGACTTTCACTTCTAGGCTGCGCTATACTGTGTTGAATTTTATTTTGTTGATTCAGAATGATGAGAGAAATTCAGCACTTCAAATGGCCTCTGTGGAACAAAGAAAAGCTGATGAGAATGTCTTAAGACTGGTTGAAGAACAAAAGGTGTGTCATTCATAATCACATCTCTCCCACTCTCTGTCTGTCATGTCTTTGCACATATATATTTCTGCATATGCTTCTTCCAAAACCTGCAAGTTGGGGTTTCTGCTATGGTTGTTAGCACAAAGTAAACAGAGCTTTACTCATGTTGACGTTAAATATCCAGAGAGAGAAGGAGGAAGCCTTGAGAAAGATACTTGAGCTAGAAAGGGAAATAGATGCCAGGCAAAAACTGGAAATGGAAATAGCAGAACTTAAAGGAAAGCTAGAGGTTATGAAGCACCTTGGAGGAAATGATGATGCAGCTGTACAAAATAAGAATAAGGAGATGAACCAGGAGCTGAAACAGAAAATGGAGGAGATGGATGATATGGAGGCCCTGAACCAGACTCTCCTTGCAAAGGAGCGCCAAAGTAATGATGAGTTGCAAGATGCACGGCGCACCTTAATTGATGTATGATTTCAGTGTCAATTGCAGTAAGATATTCAATTTCTTTATGAAGTTACAACCTTATGACATGTTGGAGTTTCATGTTGTAAGACTGTATAACTTATGAGATGCTGAGCTTTTTGGAATAAACTCTCTTTAGGGATTGAAAGAGATAGTGACCAGTGGGCGCTCCCAAATTGGGATAAAAAGAATGGGGGAAATTGATGCAAAGGCCTTTCAGAATGCATTGAAGCAGAGGTTACCAAGTGCAGAAGCTGAAATCAAGGCCTTGGAACTGTGTTCCCTGTGGCAGGAAAATCTAAAAGCCCAAGACTGGCATCCCTTTAAAACTGTTATGGTTGATGAGTCGCATGTGGAGGTTTGTTCTTTGATTTCGTTTTTTTGTTTTATCTCTTTTTCTGCCAATTTAGTTCCTTTCAGTTAAGAGTTATGTATGGCATCTAAAGGTTTGAGGTTAAGGACGACTTATCTTGTCTTAGTTAGCTTCCAAGGTCATCCATTTTTTTTTATGGTTTTCCTTTGTGTCTGGTCAAATCGGAAGAACTTCATTAAAGGCTAAGTGCACTAGTACTCTTAAAGTTTAGTTAGAAGAGCAATTTTACCCTTTAGCTATTTATGAGTGAAGATGACCTTTATAGCTTTCATACTTTACATTCCTTTACATATTGCTAATAGAGTATGTTTCTGAAGGCATCTTCGTCACTTACGGATGCATTTTTTCGACATGAATTTAAAGAACAACGAAGTCTCCTTTTTTGTTTGGTAAACCACAGCCCGCAAACCCCTCTGTCCGAGGGCCATAGTGAATCTTTCCTACATTTTTCCCCTCTGTGACGTGAAAGCCAACCCTAACCTCATGGTTGGAGATGGAGGTTCTTTGTCAGTTGTCACTAGACGAGCCCTACTTAGGATAGAATAGAAAGGAATTTATTCCCTTCATTTAACAATCAACTCTTTTTTCAAGTTTTCTTCTCCCCATACTCCCAAGTTTTTGCTAAAACGAGAACCCCAAGTACTTTAATTGTATAATGAAGATCTTAGATCTGCTGCTGCTGCTTTCTTTTTTTTCTAAAGAATATTTTGGAAAGAAGAATGTAAGATTTATACTTTTAAGTTTTCTCATCTCAAATTAGCTAAATGGCCCTTCATAAATGTTGTTGTTGTAATCATCAATATGGCCTATACGTCAGAGGTTCGAGCCGTTGAAGCAGCCACCAATGCTTGCATTCGGGTAGGTTGTCTACATTACACCCTTTGAGCTGCGGCCCTTCCCCGAACCCTATGTAAATGTGGGATGCTTTGTGCACCGGGCTGCCCTTTTTTTAGTGACATTTATATAATCTACTAGAAGTGTTAGGATCACAACGTTTGAATATTGTAAAGTCATCTTCACTGCTAAATATAAATGAAGGGTTAAATTGCTTACCTAATTAAAGTTTGCTACTCACTCTATCTTTTTCTTTTTAAAGGATTTTTAATATTAGAAGGAAAAATAAATACTTTTGTCCCCTAAGTTTACTAGGCACTCTGCTCTAGAATAATCAAAAAGCAAAAGAAAGAGATAGGTAGAAGCATATCATGTTATGTTGAAGGCTTGGAGTGACCATTTTGCTGTAAATGCAGAGAGTGATAGATGAGAATGATGAAGCATTACAAAAGCTGAAGGAGGAATGGGGGGATGAAATCTACAATGCGGTGACCACAGCTCTGAAGGAGATAGAGGAATACAATCCTAGTGGTAGGTACATCATTAATGAGCTATGGAATTTCAAGGAAGGAAGGAAGGCCACGCTGAAGGAAGTTACCAGCTATATTTTCAGGCAATTGAAGACACATAAGCGCAAGAGGCCATGATTGCTTGGTGCTTTTCTGTCTCCCTCTCCCTTCTGATTGTCAGGTGGAATCCTGCTTACAAGTACACTTGCTCTTTGTTAGGCATGCAGAATAGTAGATATTACATGGTAAATGTATATATGAATTTAGATATTTTTGCAAGTTTTGCAAGATGGTTGTCATCTCTAGCTGCAGAAGTCCAGTTAGCCCTTATATTTTTGACTCTGCGGAGTTTATTCTTTCTGGGATTTGACTGGTTACAGTTGAAAATATGATTATCTTACTCTGATATGCCATTGAGAAATGGTACTTTAAAAGTTCAATTGTCTTTTGGAATTTTTATTTGAAACTGTGTTTGCGACCAGATTTTGTGCCCCTTGGCTTTTCTCCTTTGAGACAATACGTTGAAGTATGTGATACCAAGCATTACATTGGGTATGTTGTTGTATGTGATACCAAGCCAAGCATTACATTGGGTATGTTGTTGTATGTGATACCAAGCATTACACTGGGTATGTTGTTGTTGTATGCGATACCAAGCATATAGAGAGATAACAGCTTTCCATGCGTCCTACAGTATAACGTGTTTATGGACGGATTAGTGTGCAAAACCCAAGAAAATTGTATCATTTTGCAATACTGTCCATGGGACATGGCCTCCTTTCATAGGCCATGTCAATCCCATTTTGCAACAATGAATATCAACAGAGAAAGAAAAAATCGCGAGAAAATATTTCCTATAGACCAAGGTATGCACCATAGTCCCCAGAATTTCCTCACAATTAATCAGAAATCCCAAGGAAGTCCGAAGGTCAATCCTCCCAACTCTTTGCCGAATACTACTGTAAACTATGTTTCACTTTGGCTCGTGTATGTGTGATGAGAGCAATAGCATGTTGATCCAAGGATCCTGCTGTCTATGCATAAATAACAAACATCACCAAGGCTTAGGGGCTAGAAGAACAGCACAAGAAGATGTATGCAACCAGCAGCAATCGTCCATGTGATTTCGGCTTCTTTTAACCCAGACTACATCCAACTATCCAAGGTATAAAATCCGGTGAAGAAAACAACACATCCATTCAAGGGAAGCCTGTCAGAGGATTCTTCAATAGAATCGGACAAGCGTTAACTTACATATGTTCAGCATTGAACATGCTCGTTACTAAGAAATCATCACTAGTCACAGTTACAAGGCCAAACAAAGCACCGCCAACCTTAGGAGGCTAGTGGAATCCTTAAATGTGATAACACGATGTTCATTGTTCTTAATTATGAAGTAAGATCAAAAGGATAAATGTAAAGAAGGTTCTGACGGTCAGAGTGCATGCTCTGTCTGATTTAACTAATAAGATTACTAATGAACATATCAGCAAATATAACCAAACAAGCCAACAAGATCCCGCCCCTCAAACCATTAAGAAATCTGTTATTCAGCACTCACCTACATAATCAGAAGCCTCAGTCTCAATGTTATCTAACAAGAGGTCTCAGTCTCTGACACCAACTACAGACTTGAGGTCTGGGATTGGGGGGAGGGGAGGTTTGTTTCCAGAAAGTTCCTATCCTCAGGAGCAACATATGCACAAAGTTGTGTCATGACTACATAAAAGATAAGAAGTATTCACTTTCAACGCTTCCTTTGCTACAACTTAATATTTGCTTAGAGATCGAATCTGTCAAAGCTAATTCGTTTGTTAAGTGCATCTTCCAAGTCAAATATTCTAAGTTAACAAAGCATAATACCTACATGGAAAGATTTGAGATATTGGGTCACCTTGCCTCAACCCCTTGTAAGTATCTATTTCCACTACACCCCAATAAGTTCTTTAACAGTGAATCAGCTCCCAACACTATATCATAAAAGGTACTAATAAGCAGTTGCCTTCTGTTAATCAACCCAAGTTAGAACATACCGACGTAACTTTCAATCATGAGATTTCCAGTTTACAAAAACTTGAATAACAAGTTTCCACAAAAGCAGATCAACAATATATGCCAGCAAGTGTCTCACGTCTTCTTTTGATTCACAAGATTAAGACCTGTCAGTGACATGAATTGCTAGCAAACTGTAAAACCAGTTTTCTACCATTAAGCTTCTTCATATTCCACATAATGCAGCAACATAAACTAGGTGATGTCCTTTTTTCGTTGATAGCAAAGTTAATGGATCTCCTTTCTACCTCCTCTTCTCCTCTTTTACCTTTACTCTAATTTTTCTCAAACTCAAAGTACCAATTCAAGACTCCAATAACCAAATTCACTTGCAGCCTTTAAACCCAGAGAGTACAAGAATATCAGAATCGCCTGGTCATTCAACAGCACGAATCAGCAGCTATAAAAACTTCCGCAATCTGAAGTAACTGTGAATTATCATTATTAAATAATCACAGTAGACAATTAAATGTTAAACCGAGAGTCTTCCCATAATATAATTATGTAAGAAATTAAAGGACAATAAACTACCATAGCTCAGAGACAAGGTCCCTCCTCCCAACAGAAAATCACTCCACAAGCACTACAAGGAAAAAGGAAAACCAACTATCCATGCATGGCAGTAAATCTGAAAACAGAAATCCTGATGCTGATGCAACATGCCAACCAAGCTATCCTCCATAGGACATATATGGACAAGTAAATTGCAGTATTGACAGGTAGAAGGTGCTGAAAATGGGGTGATAAGATCGCACAAGAACAAGGGGAATAGCTCTAAACTGCAACTGACTCCACTTAAGAAAAGGGAAGGGGTTGTCCACAGACTCTCTCCTGATATCTCGTTTCTTTCTTAGTTAAAATTGGGAAAAATCTTTTGGAGTCTACATGGCTATAAATAATTCCCAAACATAGTAACTGAACAGAAGCCTCTTATTGGTTGTAAATCATGTGATAATTTATATTCAGTTCGAGGAAGACCTTGATTAAGGATAATCATTTGACAGTCATTGACAAACCTAATCACTACCACCTTACCCAGAACCTTTTTTTAATAAGTAATTAAAGATTTTATAAATTTATGCACTAAGCCATTGCATCAGGCATAATTACAGGTTGCGCAAAACCTCTATTGTGCCCATGCAATCTCCTGATCAGAACGATTATCACCCAGCACCATTTGTTTTCAACTCCAACCAATATGTCACAACAGCACAAAAGTAGTTCTCAATGTACAACATTATCTCCTTGCATATGTTCGCTTTCCCATAGCTCAACGAAAAGCAGAGGGGCAAAATCAGAACGAACCTGGAAACTACTAGCTAATGCCCACATATGCAAGCTTCAAAATTATATCTTTCTTATACCTGGAGCAAAACAATGAGCATTCGCACAGAAATGACACCATTGACAAATCTAAACATGTCCACATTGACATTAATAGCAGCAAAAAGGATGGAAGAAAAAGATGTATTAAGCCAAAATAAGGTGGATATCATAAATAACCACAAACCTTTTTACCAAAAGTATACATTGGAAGTGTGGCATCATACAGCACGCACAAGTAATACATATCTAATCTTTTTTCATATTTTTATTTTTAATTTTTTTCTTCAATGGGTATTGTTCTGCCCATTCTCAACACCTAGACCATACAAGACACCTGCATACTTCTCCAGTGAACAACTGAAGAAGTTTTCTTTCAACTTCCTAAAGGTACAAGCTGTGAGCAAGCTATCTGAACCCGCTTGATGACAAACACCAACCCTCTCAACCTCCAAGAGCTCCGCGAGTTTGTTCAATCCACCATGAAGGCTATTACAGAACTTCATCAAGTGCTTGATGTCGAAAATGACAGGAAAGTACACATTCATCAAGGTAAAGAAATCCGCCTGTGTATCAGGCAAATCCTGGCAAGTCAACAGCTTCAACAGGTACCCGAAATCATAGCCACTATGAAAAGTAACCCAATACACATTATCATTCAGCACAATCCCTGACGACATCAAGAGCTCCCCAAAGCGCTTGGCATCAATACCCTTTTCAATGTTCTTGGTAAAATCAATGCCACTCTGGCGCAACAACTCAATCGAATCATTGGCAAAAACATCCTCGTTAGGGTTGAATTCGCGGAAATTGAATTGCCAAATGCAGTACTTGTCTGTCCCACACTTGGGCAAGTTGCCCTTTTCATCCGAAAATGTCAGCCCTAACTGAATCAATTTCAACATATCCACGTTATCCTTTAGGGTTTGGTAATGATAATCGTAACTATTCTTAAAATTCCCGACGGGCCGGATTACGACACCGGGAAACTCCGTATCCATTGCAATGTATGGAAATTCGTCAACAACTTCGCGGATTAACGCGAATTCTTCCTCTAGATTGTCAATCCAAACCTCTCGGATGTGAATCGAATCGGTTTTCGGCAAAATCGACATTTTCGCCGAATATTTTACTTTCAGTGAAATGATAAATTAAACCTCACCAATTCCGACCATACAATCGCCGGAATAAAAACGGATTCCTTTGAAACTCTCAAACCAAAATCAGATCTGCAAGAAACAAAGTGAAAATTAACTAAATTAGCCCACCGCGAAATAAATTTTCACATAAAAAATCGATTTTTAAAAACAAAATAATTACCTTTCAATAAATAAAGATTCAAACTTTCAACCATGAATCGATGATTGAAAATGAGACAACAACACCGAAATATATACAAATAAATTTATGTGTGTGGAGAGAGAGCGATTTGTAATATTAGGGTTTGAACAGGAACAATATGAGGCGGCGAAGAGGAATAAGAATATGAAATTTTAGGGCAAAATCGAAGTGTTTTTTATTTTTTTGGAGTTTTTCTTTTTTTATTTTTTTTTTGGATTTTTGTTATTCTAGAGTCTAGAGGGAGAAAAAGAGATGAGCCTTTGGGGCGAACGAGAATGGGGCCCTCCCTTCTTGTCCACCTCCTCACTACTCCAAAAACAAACAAATATATAAATGTTTTTAAGAACTAAATTTTTTGGATTTTTCTATATTGGAATATTCTGTGGGAATAAAAAAATGGAGGAACTTTGTTTGTTACGGTAATAATAGGGGGACAACTTGTTCGTTGGCTGCATTTATGGTTCTTTTTTTTTCCTCGTACATATATATTTTTAAGGGTTTTTGGTTTTTCTTTTTTTTTTATTTTATTTTATGGGCTTTTGATTCTTTTGGGGTTTTTGAGGGATGAAATAAAATGTGGTTTTATGTAGGAGGAAGAGAAAAGGGTGAAATGTGGGCATTTACTAAAAATAAACACACATT